AAGCAAGAAGAATCATAGATTTTACTCTATGTTTTTAACATTTTATACTTTTAACTATGAAATAATACATGAATAATCTTGATGCTTCAAAGATGTAAATGCTGTTAAATATAATATCAAACCTTCCAAAGCTCAGGCAATATCAACTCCTTCCTAAGAAGTAAGTTTGCAACATGTACAGTAGCCGTCCAGATTTTCTAAAGTTACCTCAATATTTATTATACCTTTCATTTCATAGCTTTCTAACATGAATGGAGTATACTAATAAATGCTATTCTTCACGAAACAAAACATTTTGGAGAACCTTCAGTGCCTGCATACATTTACGGGTGTGTGTGTGGGTGTGTGTGTGTGTGTTATATGAAGATGCAATGCAGGCACATGTGCCTGTGAGGCCCAGGGGTCAAGGTCAAGTGTCTTCTCTACCATGCTCCACCACTGGGCTAGACCACCAGCCCCATGGGTCGCTGGACCCCACCTGCCACACTCCCAGTACTGGGGCTGCAGATGCACACCACTACACTGTTTTTCACATGTGTGCTAAAGATTTGATCTTGGGTCTCCATGCTTGATCAGTAAGCACTTTAATCCACGTTAACCTTCTAATATATAGACTTCTTCATCCCTCAGCAGTTGTATTTACTCCCAAATAACTTATTGGTGGGCATTAATTTATATCCTACTTACATACACACACACACACACACAACTTTCCAGTGCTGGGGCTCAAACCTAGGGGCTTGTACATGCTGGCCAAGTATTATACTACTGAGATACATTCCTAAACCTCAAATACGTCTTTGCAAGAATCACTGCATCATAAGGAGTACAAGAATGCAATTCTTCAATTGTAAACATCAAAAAATATTCACTAAACTAGTTTATGCAAAAAAAAGACAATTACATAGTGACTCATGAAACTGGACAAGAGGAGGCAGGTCTGGGCTTTAGTCATGGTTTAATCCAGAATTGGAAATACCCATTCTTTTAATTTTCTGGCTTTAATATATTTTCAGCTTCCACATATCAAAACTTCAATTTTAGTCCTCAAAGTCATGGAGGTTCCAACATCACATTCCATATTATGAGCAAAAGCAGAGAAGAGGAATCTTTGTCCCAGATTCCCAGAAAATTCCATTAGACACTTGTACCCCATGTCTTGTTCCCTCCTGTATACACTGAAGGTAGACTAGCAGGAATGGAAATGGAGAAAAGAGATGAGAGAGGAGTAGGGAGAAATGGGTTAGAACTTGCCTATGTATGGAAAAACAACATACTGCTTCCTGTTTGGCTTGTTAGGAGAGTCATTTATTTAAACCTACAGAGAGCAAAACCAAAAAGAAAAAGACTCACTTCTCTTTCTATTCCTCCCAGTCAGTAAAGCTGGAATCCCCAAAAGTTGTGTATAAAATGAAACTAAGAAGACTGGACAGTTGAGTAAAGAAGACACAGCTGGATGTATGGTTCTATCATAAGCACGAAGCCGTGGGTTATCTACAGCACGCCAGGGGGTGAGGGAGGTGCAGACTCTTTGAGGACTCCAAGTCCTGAGATGTAAAGCAGACATGACCTTTTGGAATGAAATATACTAGACTTGAAACAAAAGAAGAGACCATAACCGAAATGACCCTGGGAATAGACAGAAACACACACCCAGCCCCTGAGTCAAAGAACCAAGAAATCCAGAAAGACAGACAATGACTGTTAGCTGCTGTCTAGCCAAACAGTATGTAAAAAAAAAAAAATGCAGCTCACTTCTCTCTTTTCCTACAAAGGCTGAGTGGGGAGACCAGGGTCCTACCTCATCCAAATACCCCAGGCACTCTGTTCATTTCTGCCAAAACAGAAAAGACCAAGTAGAAATCAAGACTTTCATCCCACCTGGAAGGAATTTACCTCCTCTCAGAACCCAGCAGCTCTATAGGAATCATGGACACTCAGCCTTGTCCAGCACTGAGGAGACCCATCTTTTCCTTAGTGAAGCACCGTCTGAGGGGGATGAATTGGAAGCCAGGCCTTCTGCTATCACTTTTCCCAACACCTACCTATCAGTTCCTGAGTCCTTACTCTGAGGTTAGTGGAAACCTATTGGGAAGCTGTAAATTGCATCTCCCTCTAGAGAAAGGAAAGAAGACATTTTTTTCAAGACACAAAAGACAAGACCTGCCATCCTGAATTCTAGATTCAGCAAAATCATCCTTCAAAATGAATAAATGAAAGAAATGTGCAAAAAAAGAACACAGAGAAATGTGTGACCTGCACACTAACTGTACAACACTGGGACTAAACCACAGTCTTAAAAGACCAAGAAAACGATTAAAAATAAAAAGGAAGCAGGGTAGGACATCAGGGAGGAAGAGGAAACACGGAAAGAGGAAGGACATGGGTAGGACTCAAAGGATTTCCTTATTCCTGTTTCCTAAACTACACTCGACAGCAAAGGCAGACGTCTGTCATCAAATGCCAAGACGCTGCTAAGGCTGTACTCAGTGGTACAGCAACTGCCTGCCATTAACCCATGGCTAGACGTTCAATCCAGAGGTCCACACGAAAATAAAAGGTCCAAACTAAAATGAAGTCTTTTTTTAAAGGGGGAGGGCTTGCTAGAAAGATGGAGCAGCAGTTAAAAGTGCTTACTGCTTTTATAGAGGTCACAGGTTCAGTTCCCAGCACATACGTGTTGGCTCATAACGCCAGTTCCAGGGGATCCAATGCCCTCGCCTGGCCTCCATGGGCTTCTGCATGCACATAAGCTCACACAAGGGCACATACGTATTATATATGTTTTTCAAAGAGAGAAAGAATGTTGGATGGAGACAGCTGTAAATTTAGGAAAGTCAATGACTTTAAAAAGTAAGAGTTCTGAGTTTCTCTGGAACTGGTCAGTGGTCACCAGCAGATCTGGGGAATAACAGCAGAGTTTATACTTGACAGCAATGGTAATCTCAGAATCTCGTCACACTCCACACTTTCCACCAGTGTCACCATCTTGATTCTACTGACATGCTACAGTTGTACAAGTGTAGCAACTGGAGACGACTGGGGTAAGGGTACATGGGACTTGACAGTTTTGCCCATTTAAAAACATTTAAAGCAGAAGCACGTCGGACGGTGAGGAGTCGTTGTACCCATGCAGCCTCTATCCCATCCTGGAATTCTTTCACTAAAATACAGCACTGTCTTCCTCTTGGTGGCACAGTTCCAAAGCAAAGCTACAGGACTTGAAAGAAAATCTAAACTCCAGCTGACCTGAGATGCAAATCCACTTCCTCAACAAAACCAACGAGCCAGGGGGAAACCGTGTGGATTGCAAGGATTTCTGAATATGTGGAAAAGATAGAAGAGGAAGGGCGCTTAGCAACCTCTGTGGTCTGACTATGTCTCCAAGTTCATCGGCTGGAGACAGAATCCAGACAGTGGTGCCTGGGGAAGGCCCAGTAATTTGTAGTTGGGTCCCAGGCTCTGCCCTCCTTGTGGGCTACTGATGTTTTCACAACACTGGGCTAGCTCCTGGGGGAGTGTTTATCATAAAGGTGAGCCTGGACTCCTCCTGTTCTTCAGTTCTCCCCCTTCTCCTGTGGGACATTTAATAACAGAAAGAGAAGGCCATTACCAAGTGGCATCCTTGACCTTGAACTTCCCAACATCCTGAAGTGTACTGTCTGGAACTAATATCTGTTCTCTACGATCTCAGACATTCTGTTAGAGCAGCAGCAAACAGGCCAAGGAGCCAACCTGGGCTCAAGAAAGAGATTCATTACATTAAAGCTGATTAAATTCTCCACTAATTTATGTCTTAACCGATTGATTTCCTGAGTCATCTCCATGTTTTATAATCCAAAGTAGCTATAGTGAAGAAACAAATAGAATACAAACCATCCCTCACTCCTTGCTTACGGTCCCAGGGAAGATGAACCTATCCACAAAAGGCAGCTGCTGCCCCACCCCTACCCCAGCCAGACTGAAATGTCATATACTGCTGCTCCTGAACCACCTTTTCAAAATTCAGACCATAGAGAAGCCAAGAAAAGGACTGTACTAGTACCCAAAGCTTTATTTGCCCTTGCCACAGACTGTATCTTGATGGGACTGGCCTTGGTCATCCACGTGGCTCTGGATCTTCACAAGGACAACACTGACTTGTATGGTTGCTGACTCAGAATGTAAATAGATGAGCGAATGAACAGCTGTGGGCAGAATGGGATGATGGGAAAAGAGAGCTAACCACATTGGAAGCCAAAAGAAGAGGGTGGCCTGTGAGAAACTTAAAAAGGACATGGGAGGTTTAAACTGCAGGGCCACTGAGATCCCCTTCTCACACATGTCTGCCACCCTCCTGTCCATGCGCTGGCCAGGAACGAATGGGAGTAGTCTATTAAGGGAAGCAGGCATATCTCCAAACCTGGATTGTTGCTGAAAAGGAGCAAGAACAATGACATGAAAGTTAGCCAGAGTCAGAACTCACCACCCAGGGGCGTTACTAAATTGATCTAGGAGCATACATGGGCCTAGGGGAAAGACTGGACTTCCCATTCTTGTTTTTCCCAATAACATTGTAAAATTAGTTTCAGCCAACTTTAAATTTCAAAGGACTAAGATTGTATGTATCATTTGGTTCAGTAGTTGTTATCCTCTTTTTCTTTAAAGGCAAAAAGAATTTTTAAAAAGCTAAAGAAATAGAAGGAAAGAGATGAAAGGATGTATATTTTTGGAAAGTAAAATTGCGGTTGATATTTAAAAAACAGAGCAGGCAGGAAAAAAAAAACCAGTCAACTGAGAAATCTACAATTACCTCATTCTGTCTGGTTTGGCAGTCATATAATCCAAAGACAGCATTTCCGTTATTATCCTCAAAATTAAGCAGATATTTATTTTGGAATTGTTAGGAAGTTAAACCTGCAATCACTCTATCCACAGTATTTTAGCAACAGGCGCTCACAGGAAGCCTGCTGTACATCTAGAAGGAGCAGGCCGAATTCAGCTAGTCACTGGAGCCTGGAGAGGGAACCGGGTCCTCCCTGAGCAGCTTGGGGAATCTGAGGACTGCTTAGAAGGCCTGGCCATGAGCCTACAGCCATGTCCGTGAAAGAATAAATGTATCATATTCTATAAGTAAAACTGAATCTTTAAATGAATCAATCCTAAATAAACTTAAGTTTGTTTGTTCTTTTGTTTTTTGAAATAGGACAAGGCTTGGCTGTCCTAGACTCACTCTGTAGATCAGGCTGGTCTCGAACTCACAGAGATCTGCCTGCCTCTGTTTCAAGTTCTGGGATTAAAGGTGTACACTGCCATGACCAGCAGCTTAAGAATTTTTTTAATCAGCAGGGAAACGAAAAAATGCTGATGCAAATGTATAGAACTTGCTGCTGAAACTACTCTCTGATGTGCTTCTGTTAGCAGAGTTAGTAGGGAAATGAAGTTTTCCGTAGGACACCTGAAGACGTTAAATACCCAGAGTGTTAGCGATGGTTTTATTTATACCTGAATGTGTGAAGTATCCATAGTAAGCATTTTCTCAAGGACAAAAATTTAACATACTAACTTGGTTTAAGTATCTTGGCTTTTCTTTATTAGACAATGAAATTATCCATCGATTTAATTTTTTGAATTTCAAATATGGCCGTATGTACTGACGCTGAACACAGGTGACTTAGCGAGCTCAAGTGCATCTGTCTCCCAACAGCAATCTCTACAGATGATCAGCAAAAGGCAGAGTGGAGCTGCTGTGGTGCACTGGTAAAAATTATATCTGCCTTCCCTTCCTTTCCTGCTCCTGGAACAACAACTCAGACTAATTTGTCATTATAAAATGCCTTGGCCATAAGCTCTGGCTCATTCTCTGACTAGCTCATAACTTACTTATCCATTTGAACTATTCTGTGTCTACCATGTGGTAAGTTACCTCTCCTCCAGTCCCTCCCGTCCCCTCCTTCTCGCCTCCTCAGTGTCTCCCTTCTTGTGGTTTGCACCTGTCTCCTGTCTCATCTCTCTTGCCTTACCCTCATCTCTCTTTTATCTCTTACTATTTCCCAGAATCCTCTCTCTTTCTGCCAGCGTCCCACCTTCTATTTCCTGCCTCAGCTCATTGGCCACCAGCTTTCTTACTGACGGGTGGTGTTTATAGGAGGTTCTCTCTACAGTTCACAGTGGTTCTGAATCCCCCAAATGCCTGCCAAGAATAGATCAAGCTACATCCAAACAAGGGAGTACACTGTGACCATGAGAAAGAACTAACCATATCAACACACAAAAGTAACCGAGCCAAGTCTGCATGGTGGTACATGCCCTTAATCCCAGCACTCAGGATGCAGGTCTCTGTGGGTTCAAGACCAGCCAGGCCTACATAGCATGCTCCAACACAACCAGGACTGCATAAAAAGAGCAGATCTATAAATAAATAAATAAATATATAATCCCCCATAACTACTAAAAACCAACTGCCTTGTTTGATTGATGTGTTTCTGAAACTGGCAAAGTCAGTCTCTGTAGCTAAATGAGCAACTGCCTCAGAACACAGACGACTGAGTGGCGCTAACCAGCTCTTTCCTGCTCTGAGTGCTGGCTCTGTGGACTTTACTCTAGGAAAACTGACTAAACTGTGAGTCCTTATGACTTGTGTACTTCCCAGTCGAAAAAAATCATCGTCTAGAGCAGGACATACAGACCCTTTACACAAAGGACTTAACTTAAAAACCAACTGCCTGTCTTCACTACTATCCTTACGGCACTCATGGGTCAACAGTTAAAGGGTTTAAACAAACACTGGTGGGTAGCACATCGGTGATTACTATTAATTGGGAAGTAACTGAGTTTTTTCAGCTTCTTCAAAAGCTGTCCACAATTTGCTCATGCATGACTAGAGTATTCCAACATTAAAGTAATACGATACTGACTATGGGAAATTCACATGTTTAGATGAAACATGAACAACAGCCTGCAACAGCAAACTCTGAATTTCTAATTCAAAAGGAAAAAAAAAAGCAGAAGAAACTCAAGTATAGTGGGAGAACCAGAGCTGGCATGGGAACCCCCAGAGGAAGCACAGGTCTCAGGGAGGCTGGCCATCATCTGGAGGTCTGTCTTCCTGCCTGTCTCAAGATGGCTGTGTAAGGGTTCTGCGGTAAGGATGCAGACGTGGTTTTTATACATGGCTATATACTCCTATTGAGCTGTCAGGATCACTTCGCTCTGATTTTTAAATATGTGAATAATCATTTGATCTTATGGCAGAACTAGACTCTGTCAGCTGACTAGCTCTTCACAGCGCTTTCTCATCCCCATCTCATGTACATTTGGCTCAGGTATTATAAGCCCATTGTACATAAAGAACAACTGAGGACAGTGAAGTAAAGACCCTGGGCCAATACCACAAAGCAAACAAGTAGTGCAGACTCATCTCAAACCCAGAAAAGGACAGAGAACAGAGAGGTAGTCCCCTGCATTGGGCATGCTGGGAAGCTGGATAATGGCCTCTCTGGGATTCTATAGCCTCGGAAGCAATGTTCAGCAAGCCTGCTTCCATCCTGCAGTGACACAGCTTCCAGAATGCAGTGTGTCAATATTTTGAGAAATATTTCTTTTCTTTCCAGAGAATAAGGATACTGGGACAGACCTTCACAAAAACCTATTTTAAAAGGTTTCAGCTACGATAGGAAATTCCTTTACGAGAAGTCTCGATAAAAATTCTTGGAGAAACATTTATTTTGAGATCACTAAAACTTCTTCATCAAACACAGACTACAGTTATTTTGTACATGTGTATGTGTGTACATACATAGATACATACATACGTATATACATACATACTACATACCATGGACACCAAGCTCTGCCTGTATTAGAAGCGTGAGATGAGCCACTTAAGGAATGTATAAGGAATACTGATGCTCCATACCAGAACCAAAATATTCTCTTTAAAAAATACATATTATGTTTTCTTTGTTTGCTTAATATGTGAGCGAGAGCAGGGAGAGACGTAGAGAGGGGAGTGAGGCTGAGAGGGAAAGGCACCTGTGGCAGTCAGAGGGCGCCTTGTAGGAGCTGGCTCTCTCCATACACCGTGTGGGACTCAGGCTTGGGAAGCCATTTCACCACTCAAGCTATTCTGACATTTAAGAGCCTAATGTGGAGACTACTCTCGTGTGTGTGTCAAGTTCCCTTAGATATTTCTCACTGCACACCATTTATTAGCTACCATAGCTAGAACTTAGATCAAAATGCGGTCCAATCATAGCAGACAAGAGTTGGAAGAAATAAAAATCTTTTTGTGGATCTGTTAGCTAGTGCTAACTCTAGTTAGACTCCTCTTCGTTTCAAGGGCGTGTGGAATGGATGTGTTTACAATGCTGGAAATGTAGACTGAGGTCTCACTCACTCTCCCTGGCGCCTCTGCTCTGGACTAGCTGCTCATGATTCTGTGTGCCCTTCTCTAAGGATATTCAGTAATGCCTCTGCCTATTTACTCATTCTGACTCTTCCCCTAGTAGTACACCTCTGGAAAGTCCAGAGGAGAAAGTTTAGCAATCTAAGATGAGGAAACTCGGTTTAATTTTTACAGTTTGGTATACTCTGGATTATTACACTCTGATAAGGAAGTTACTTGCATAAGTGAACCTGCTGAAGAAAGTATGAAACACAAGAAGCACTGTGATGTCTGAGGTAAGGTGAACCAGAAGCTGGCTTCCCAGACAATGCGGTTCACGTCAATCCATTCTTTGCTAGAGCAGAGTGGTTACACAGCACTGGAAGATGTTTGCCAAATGTACAAACGCTAGTCTAAACTGCTAGGTGAAAAAAATGAAATAGTTTTGTCTTCCTCACGGCAGTGCTCGGAGAGGGGAATCATAAGGTCTTACAAAAAGCTGTGAGCCAGCTCCCAGCACACAGCTCTAAAGGTGGCTGAGTGGGATTTCTCTCAGTCTGTACCCATCCACCAGTCCCCAGGCTCCGTATGGCCCCGTTTTATCCTCCTGAGATCAGGACTTCTGAGATGTAACACATTTCACACTCTGAACTAAATGAGAAGGAGCAAGCACGGCTGATTCATTACGAATCAATAAAAAGAGAACTGAGAATTAGAAAAGGAGACTGAGGACTCAGAGGAAAAGTAAACAGGAAGGACAGTGGCAATAGAATAGTGAAACTGAAAAGAGTGTGACTAAGCCACCCTCCATACCCAGACCAGTCTGCAGGACCATGTACACAAGGAAATAAAGAAAAGCTCACTTTTAAATGAGTTGCCTGGCAAACTATATCACTCCCCATACAAAGAATGTAAAATTTAAAATCAACCCTGGTGTCACAAATTCAAGCATAATCAAACTTGGGGAAAGAAAACATGTTCTCTCTAGAATTATACAGATGGTCGCTGACAACGTTTCAATTTATACTTTTTTAAGTGGTGCCAAAGCAACATAAGACATTTAGGAAAGGTGCTAGCTGGACTGTTAAACCCAAGGATCTCCTAAATGTTCCCCCCCTCCCCCATCTACCCAGAGAAAAGCTAAGTAAAGCTAGGCTTCCTGTTAGGCACTGTTTCCCAAGAAATTCTTAGCCCTATGGGATTACACCTGCAAACTAGAGATGGCCCTGAAGCCTGAGCTGGTGGTGGGGTGGGGTTGGAGCTCCAGAACTCAACTGATTGCAAGTAGTTCCATGTTGAGTCAAACCTGACAGGCTTTTTATACCCTACTGTAATGCCTCACTGGATGCAGGCACTTGAAGGAAACCAAGCTGGGGGACAATCCCTGAAGGAGCCAACCATGCTCATAACACCTAGGGAAGGTTCTTCTTTGAAAGGACAGTCTACATTGGGAAAGACTGTGACCTCTGTGTCACCAGTGAACCTGAATAAATCTCTTGATACTGAGAAGAGATTTAAGTAAAAAAAGAGCATATGCTTTCCATTCACTTGAAATCCAGATAAAGATGGTTTTAAAGCTATCAATAAAATGACAAGAATGTTAAAATATCCAAACAGATACCTCTGAGATACCGAGAAGAATCATAGGTGCGTGCACACAAGCCCTCAACAGTCCTGATATTGTTCAATTTGTAGCTGGACAGTAAATACATGGTTTCCTTTTTAAATTACTATTTAGAAATGCTAAAGTATTTTCTCATTTTGTTTCAGCAGAAAACATATTCCCAAAGTTAACACAGCACCAAGAGTAGGCACATTAATCAAATCTGGCCTCCTACCCCTCAAGCCCTTGTTGATTACATTTCTAGTCTACAGCTAGCAAAGTTGCCTGGCTAGAGTAGCCAAGCTCATGGCTATTTTAGCAAGAAAGTCATGTTTCATGAGAATTACTTAGCATCACTAAAACGTTTTCAATTTGTTGATATGAAAATATTAACATATTCAGTGAGATACTCAGCAGACAAAGGCACCTGACAAACTGAGTTTGAATTCCAGATGGTGAAAACACTCTGAAAGTTGTTCTCTGATATCTATATGCACAGTGCAATACTGGTGCATGCACGTGCGTTCACACACACACACACACACACGAACACACATGCGTACATGCTCATGAAGACACACACATTCACACACATACACAATTTCACTCATTCACATATATGCACAAAGGTATCAATCAATGGATGTACGTGGGAGATTAAAGGCCGTACATAAAGTATGCAGAAAGCAGACATACATAGTGTTACTCTTACTTACGTCTTAAAAGCTGAGACTTCAAAAACTAGCTAACAGAAGCATGTTTAATAATGGGTACACTACAAATAAAGTAGAATCTCAACTTTTCCTTCAAAGGCTGAGGGGCGTGTGTGCACTCATGGTCATGTGCCTGTGTAGGTCAGAAGTTGATGTCAGGTATCCTCCCCAGTCATTGAATGTAGCTTTCAGGAATTCAGCTAGACTGGCTGGCCAGCAAGCCTCAGGATCCTGATATCTCTGTCTTACCAGCACTGGAAATGCAAATGCGTGCATGCTGCCCCCTCCTCTCCCCTCCCCGGCTTTTTGGGGAATGCTAGTGTTCAGGCATGGGCTCTACTGCTCACCAGCAGTATAAACACGCACCCTGCCCCCTCTTCTCCCCTCCCCGGCTTTCGTGCAAGCTGCCCCCCTCCTCTCCCCTCCCCGGCTTTTTGGGGAATGGTAGTGTTCGGGCATGGACTCTACTGCTCACAAGCAGTACAAACACTTCATCGATTAAGCCGTCTCCCCAGCTCTTGGTTTTGTTTATTTTAAGGTACCCCCAGCTGGTGATTATCAAAGGTAATAATACTATGGGAATTTACCACAAAGCTCTGGGAAATAGCAAAATACTATACAAAAAAACAAACAAACCAGTATTTCTGTTCTAGTAAGTTGACATGAGGGGTATCTACTTTTACTGAAGCACCAATACAAAGGTTTATAATTCCTCACAGGTGAGTGAAAGATTCAAGGAAGCCAAACCCAACTGAGTCACACACAGCTTTTCAACCACAGCCCACACACTGAAACATAAGACCGTGGTGGGTTTTGTTTGTTTGTTTGTTTTTTTATTTTTATTTTTTTTTTGTTTTTTCAAGACAGGGTTTCTCTGTGTAGCCTGGCTGTCCTGGAACTCACTCTGTACACCAGGCTGGCCTCGAACTCAGAAATCCGCCTGCCTCTGCTTCCCAAGTGCTGGGATTAAAGGCATGCGCCACCACTGCCCGGCTGACTGTGGTGTTTTTATATGTTACCCAGCTTCTTATGTGCAGTCACCTGTCATTTGGCAAGATAACATGGGAACTGGGAAAGGGCTATCTCTATGCTAGGAAACAGACTTGGAGTTGCCTATAATATCTCAAAAGTTAAACCTTCAAAAATGTTAGCAAAGCAAGTAAAGAAGAAGTTGCAGAAGCTCTCATAAAATTATAAAGTTGCTTATCTGTGATTAATAGTTGATACGCGAGGATAAGGTCATCTACCAGTGTTCCTGTGCTAAAGCCCAGGAACCGTGCAGACATAACTTCCACGAAAGTTTAGAGAAAAGAATTATGGCTATGTGATGCCCCACATACATGTGATGCCCTACCCCTAAAATCCACTGGCAATCTAAGATGCTAAAGGAAAGCTGAAGATAAAAAGAGGCAAACGCATGGGCACATGGAGCTCTTATGCACAAGGTGAGACCCAGAGGTGCCATTATCCTGGAGTCAATTTAAGCCCTGAAGATGCTTCCTTATGTGCTGCTTTAAAAGAAGAAAGGGAAGGAAGGGAGGGAGAGAGGGAGGGAGGGAGGGGAAAGGAAATGGGAGGAAAGGAAAAGAAAGGAAAGGAAAGAAAAGGAGGAAAACAAAGGAAAATAAAAACTTAAATCTTAAATTACAGACTCCCTTCTTTTAAATGGATCAATTCTGGAAACACACAAAAGTCATTTTCCACTACCTCACCAGAAAAGCCTCAAGCATAGGGAACAAATTCCAGTCATCCTGGCAAGGCAGGAAGCTGAGCATACCTGCCACCTAACTGCTTGCTGCACTGGGGCGGGTTGAGGTAGCGTGGGGTGGGCTTAGGGATGTGCTTTGTGGCTCTTGAGCAAGCTGCCGTGCCTTTAGAACCCAAGGACCCTCAGTTCCCTACGTGCAGTCTGAAAGAGCACCCTGCCCTGTCTACATCACATTTGAAGGGAAATGCCCCCGAAGCCATCAACACCATTCAGACATACAGACTTTGTTCCACAGAAAACGTCTTTTTAAAAAAAACTGGGGTGTGTGTGTGAGAATGTGTGTGAAACACTGAACTCCCCTTCTTAAAAGCTTAATGATGCTGAGAATTCTCACCATACTCTCTGGGAAAAGCAGTGGAATTCCTAAGATTCTTAGTGGCCATTTTTTTTGTTTTTGTTTTGTTTTGTTTTGTTTTTCTAGACAGGGTTTCTCTGTGTAGCCCTGGCTGTCCTGGAACTCACTCTGTACACCAGGCTGGCCTCGAACTCAGAAATTCTCCTGCCTCTGCCTCCCAAGTGCTGGGATTAAAGGCGTGCGCCACCACCGCCCGGCTTAGTGGTCATTTTCTTGATCACCACGATTCATGCTGTTTCGTCACCCCATACTTCGAGGAGCTCCTAATTCTATCTGAGCCCTGGAGGCAAGCAAGAGAGAACCATCCCGCTGCTCTCTTCTTCCCCCTCCCTTGTCGCGGTGCTCCTGCAGCCCCAAGATGTGCCCGCGAGGACACCCCCACCCAGAGCCTCTACGGAACATCTGGCACCCTCCCACCCCATCCAGGATGCGCGCCCAGCACCTGCGTCTTCTCCTTTGTCCATTGTCGCCACCTGTGCGAGCAAACTCAGCAGTACATCCGCCAGCACGTTGAAATGAGTGACCAGCCACAGAGCCATGGCTTGCAAGCAGTGGCAGACAGACTTTCAGGGCAGGCTCACACCTCCCAGCCTGCAGCCTCTCCTTCTTCCCTGCCTCCCGCGGCTACTTTTGGTTCAGGGTTTTGGGAGGTCCAGCCCCAAGGATCCGAAGCACCCCTTCCAGGCCTGTACAGGGGAGCACATCTCCTAGCCTAAGAACACTGCCACTCCCTGCTGCTGGCAGGGAACTCTCACAGGGCCCTGAAGGAGTGACTTAGCCAGCAGCTTCCAGACTAGAGGACAATGCTGCGACACAGAGCCAAGGCTTTCTTCTTTAGCGCCAGGTCTCTCCACCAGGCAGCTGCTTAGCTAGGGCCAGGTCACTTGAGGGGACTATAGGCACATGGGCCTAGTCTCCTGAGCTCCACTCCACATGGTGATGTTTCAGCTGTTTAGGTAATAAACAGCAGCCGGGAGCAGGTAAACTACAAGACACTAAGGAAGGTTAGCTCAGCTCAGTCTGGGTTCTCTTTTCCTTTCAGTCCCTGCATTCTGCCTTGAGGAAGTTGAGTTGTCCATAAGTAGCCTCTGAGGAGGTTTGTCAGTAGACACTTTCATTCTTCCCCATCCTTCCTAAGCCCATCTATTCTTTATAAGTCTGGTGTTTTCATTCTGCCACTCTGGCTTACTATACTCGAGGAATGCACTGTCAGTAAGCTTGGCCCTTGAGAGGCTGTCCATCCTGTACAGCAACAGCAGGTAATCACTGTTCCTAAAACCGAAAGAGCCTTAGCCGACACAGTGTGTCATGCTTATAGTCTTTGCACTTAGGAGACTGAGACAGGAGACTAGCTTGGAGGTCACGGCCAGTCTGGGCTGGAGAGTGAGTCTTGGTCTCAAAAACAAACACTTAGCTAGCCCCCTATCTCAAAGCAGAAGAATTAACAACTTACCGACCTAGAAAACACTGCCTAGTCTTTACCCAATGATGGTGCCCTTGCTACCTAGCACTTGGACTCCCACCTGATCTGGCTCCCAAATCCCTCTGGTTATTTACCCCTTCCTTCTGTTCTGGAATTATTATATATAGAAGATAGCTTATTTAACAGATATATTCAATTTAAATGTTCTACTTCACTATTCGGAACAAGAAAGATTTCTGAAATTAAGATTCTCTTGCCTGTATAAAAACTGCTGAAAATAACTGTAAGTTTAAGAAAATGAAAGAGGCTGAGAGATAATTGCCAAGACAGCAGGAAGATGTAGCCAAGCACCACAGAGCTGTATGTATCTCCATGCCTGGATGCTCCTTCAGAAGCTTAAAATAAATCAGGATGGACAGTATGACGGAATGAGAATCACAAAAACTCTATACTTCAGGCACTGATCACGGGTGTCATTGTGGCCCAAATGTTATGAGGGATCCAGTGGCTTTCTGGCTCTACAGCAAGAAATGCATGCCGGGAATAGTAAATCTAACCAAGAGTGCACAGGTGAGGAGCTCATGGGCCCCATCAATAAACCCACTACTATTATTTTGCTAAATGGACAGAGTAGCAAACTGCTTTCTAAGTTCATGTCTCTGTGTCCACACTCTCAGAGAAGGTTCTTTGTGCAGCAGATGGTGATTAATATAGAAACACCAAGTCGTCCCAGTGCCGAGAATGAGCGTCGGTGGCACGCTCCACTACAAGACAGACATCTAGATCACTTCTCGTCCCTCCAAGGCTTAAGGACCATGGAGGAGGAGCCAGAGGCAAGCATGGCTCGACATGACATGACTACTCTCATGAACTCACTGCAGCTGTGGTGGCTGCACAAGGTCCCTACAAGACCAGCTAGGCCCCATTCCCAGCACAGACGTGGGAAGGGAGCCTGAGCTCCAGCTAGGCCCCATTCCCAGCACAGACGTGGGAAGGGAGCCTGAGCTCGCTCTCAGCAGTTGATAACTTCTGGGAAGACAGAGTCAGTTTTCTTTAGGCCTTCGTAGGGCTAAAAGAACACTTTTATTAATAAACTTATATGTGTTGAATTAAGTAAACTTGAATAAACTGAAAAACAAACTTTGCATTTGGGGAGTTAGACCTTTGAAAGGGTGATCAAAAACTTTCTTCTTGATATTCATAGAAGTCAACTAAAAGCATTAGATTGTAAACAGTACGTGACAAAATTCCTCTTTAATGTCTAGGAAATAATTAGGGTCTGTACCAAGATGTAGTAGTCCTTTAAAATAAGACGGCTTCTTATGTAGGTATTAAGAATGCTTTCTCAATGCAATTTACTTTTTTGTTTGCTTGTTTTTCGAGACAGGGTTTCTCTGTGTAGTCTGGGCTGTCCTGGAATTTGCTCTGTAGACCAGGCTGGCCTCGAACTCAAAAGGATCCATCTACCTCTGCCTCACAAGTGCTGGGATTAAGGCATGAATCACCGTACCCAAATGCAATCTCCTTTTAATAGAAATAAAAAGATATGTTGAAAAGATAAATATTTACTGTGGTAGTCACTATGATTTTCCAAAACCCATTTGCACCAGCAAGGAGATAACAGTTCCTCTTGCCAGTTTCTCAGAGCTGAGCTCCCAAGAAGTTAATAAAATCCAAAATTAACCATCAGTTAAACACACAAGTTTTATTCTCTCTCCCATGTAGGGGTGGGTAGTCCAAAGCTCAAAGGGCTGCTTCCTGCAGTCACGAGGGACCTGAGATCATTTTAGTTTCTGGTTCTATCAGATTCTGACTTAGCACCTGTCCTCGTGCTCCATGGTGACAACTCAACCATCATGCTCACATTGTAGAAATCAAACAGAAGATACGGGTTCAACAGAAGGTGCTGATTCTCTTTGAATGACACCTCCCAAATGTTCTAAACAGTATGGTTGTCTTAAACATTACAGATCTTTTACTTGTATGATTTCTGGTTTTGTGTTTTTATGGAATTTCTCTGTGTGAGAGTGTGTATGTGTCTGTATCTGTATGTTTCTTTTGATTTTTCCTTAGTTTTTTTTTTCCTTCCTGTTTGTTTATTTTATCCCATTCTGGTTTGTATTAGCTTATTTTTATTTACTTATTTATTTTAGATGCCTGTTTTCTAATGAGAGAGAGCAAGAAAGGGTATAGATTTGAGTGAGTGGGGAGGCAGGGAGGACCTGGGAGGAGTTGGCGGGAGGGAAAGCCATAATCTGGGCCGAGCTCTCTCAACTCCTTCACGTGGTGGCTTTGCCTCTCTGTCCTGCACTCTTCTCAGGCATGGTATCTCTCCTACACTCTACTGACATGGAAGACCGCCTCCTTCTCCCTCTACTCCCAGTCCCAAACCCAGGAAATCCTAAAATCTTGCTTCTGTCTGTCCTCCCTAGCTATTGGCCATTGGCATCTTTATTTACCAATCAGAATCAACTGAGGGCAGGTTCCCAGAAGCTACCTGCAGAGAATCTCGAGTCAGCAGTTTTGGGGGGAACATAATGAGCATTCGTAATACAAGCAGCTACAGGGTATGGTTCCTGGCATAAGACATCACATCAGAAACTGTCTATTGAGGGTAAGGAGAGTAGGAGACGGAGGAGCGCAGGCTGGGAAATCAGACTCCAGTGTGGCAGCTAACCTGGCTGCTTACCTGAGAATAAATCTGTTGAGTAAATATAGTAAGAACAACACGAAGAGCCTATGACTTGATGAAACAAGAAACCAACAGCTAGAGTAGATATAGGTTAGGAACCAGACTGATCAAAAGTTTGACGAGGAAAAGGACACCTAACTACCAACTACAATAACGGCTCCAGGCAGCCTTCGCCTGCGTCCTTGTCCTGTCCAATCCATTAGTAGCCCAACTGAATAAACCTGAGTGGATTGGAGGATTTAAACCTCACTGATTTCCTGATTTTGAGGTTAACGCAATAGCTAAGAAGAGTTTCATATTTGTAATTAAATGCATAGTAATGTATTTAGGAGTTAGTGGACAACAGATCGTCAATTAATCTCGAGTTTAAAAAAAATCTGTAACTTTGTAATTATTTCAAAATGAAGGCTTTTGTTTGTTTGTTTGTTTGTTTGTTTTTCGAGACAGGGTTTCTCTGTGTAGCCCTGGCTGTCCTGGAACTCACTCTGTAGACCAGGCTGGCCTCAAACTCAGAAATCCGCTGCCTCTGCCTCCCAAGTGCTGGGATTAAAGGCGTGCACCACCACCACTGCCCGGCAAAGCATTTTTAAAACAATTTTTTTTTATCAGAATAATTGTTGTTTCAGAGGGCTTATAATTTTTTTTCTTTTGAGAGATTATCATCTTCAGTTGCACTGTTTTCTCTTGCAGACTTTAAATAGTGACGTGGGTGGTTTGAATCAAAACATTATTATTAGTAGACACAAGAGTTTGAAACTGCATTACATTTCCCTCCTGCAAACTGCCAAAGAAAGTCACATTCCTATTGATCTTGTTCTAGATGAAGGTCATTCTCCAAAACTGGCTGAAAATATCCTGTAGCTAGAAAAACAGAAAGAAGCATAATGGAAATTTTTAATCTACTTTTAAAACTATCTTTTCTCCTGAATAGGAAACTTCCATTAACTAGCCTCAGGGGAAAAAAACCTTTAAATCAAAACTTGTCTTTCCCAAAGTCATCAATCATATGATTTTATTTCTTAGGGAGATTGATGACAAAGAATACATATCAATTTCAGAGAGATGCTCATTCATAAATATATGTGCAATTCATAAAAATCCCTTGTGTGTTCCATAAACAGCACTTAGCCATTTAAAAAGAAATGTGTAATAGGCATTTGAGTGCATGAGGCAGATTTTTAATGTCCAACTGCCATGTGCTCTGTATACAGAATATTTTTTCAAATTTCTGAATACCCAAGAGAATATCTAAGTAATTCATTAAAATCTTGGCAGCCAGGCTCCAGCTTCAGCTTTGCCTGAAAGCAGCCTTTACTGGAGCTGAACTCTGCCACAGAAGACCTATTGTAGTTGCTGCCTGTCTCTGTAGGGGCAATTCCTGGAGGAACCCTAGCTACTGAGATCCGGAGTGAAAACTGAATAAA